TTTTGTAAATCCTCCCTAAAGACCTAGTAATAATCCGATGACTTTCAAGTCACCACATATTTGACACTTGTATGTATCATAGCTTACTGCATTTAGGATTAGCGACATGTACTGATACTTTCGTGTGTTTCTTTCATATCAACTGCATGCGGAATAGATGGTATTTTGTTGCCGTTATGGAGCAGAACTGCTTTTAGACTTAATTTAGAAGAATATATAAACAAACGTCATTCTTCTGGTTTATGTGTAAATCCTAACTTTTTCATAACACTATTTGGATTAACACAAACAAACATTTTATCCTGCATAGTAAAAAACGAGGATAGCTCCTGGTTACGGTTCCTAAATATTGTAACTTTGGTTCCACTGGCTGATTAATTGCATTGTTGTAATCAAGAACCTAAAAGTTCAGCATGTTCTTTGGTAAAGTGAAGGTCTTAAACTAAATCATTTAATTAAGTTTGTTGGATGAAATGGGGTTGCTCTATCATCTCTTTCTGAAAATAAGAATCGTCCGTTTCTAATAAATCGTCGTGTTCACTTTTATCTTCATACATTTCCAAATCTTCCTCCCAATTTGCCGGGGGTTCTGGAACTGGTAAATCTTCTCCATGAACAACCGGTTTTATCGCTGAGGTAATATCTGGATAATCAATTTTATACTTATTTTTCCTTGAAACACAGACACTTTTGCCATGCAGAAGTAACAGTCGTTAAAATAATTTGTTGGTTTACGCCAAAGCATCGGAACTGCAAAGGGCATAGAAAAGCGTCTACCATTTAACCAATTACTTAGATTTGCTGCACAGGTTGCGCAGCATATTTAAGGAGCCCAGTTTCGATCTTGATTGCCAATCTTTTCACGTGCCATCTCCGCTACGAAGGTTGGCTATCATCATGGCAATTTTGACCCTGGAGGCTCCCGCTCGAAACAATTGTATGGAAGTGCAAGTAAACCACTCCCTGAGGTTTCTTAACCATGCCATTCTTCTCCTACCTATGCTGCGCCTACCTTCAATCTTTCCTTGCATAATTAGTTGTAACAGTTGATATTTATTCCCACGTGTAATATGTTCCAGGTATTGTAGTTTCCTCATTTTAACACTCAATACGACCTCCTTTTGTTTGTTCATCCTGTCTAATACAACTTGGTTAGTTATCTTATCCTTGATTGCCAATAACACATCCAAAATACTTAAGGTAAGCTACTTTTGTCACAACCTCGTTTCTGGACTTTGGACATTTTTGTACTATCCCATATACTTAATTCGAAGTATTTCTGTATGGAAAATGGCCAGTGGTATACGAAATTCTCGTATACCATCGGCCACCTAAGAGTAGGTGCGGCTCGGGAGAAAAAGAAATTTAATATATAGGTTTAAATGGGTAGTAACTAGTGTGTTATTCGTAGACTTTAGACATCCCAGTGTTGCCAAATTATGCACAATTTTTAGGAAAAACGTTAACCCTTTCAGTCATGCTGGGTATAATTGTACCCATTAATTTGAATGCATATATAATTCTACAGGAATCTGCAATTTAGGCAAGTTTATTGAAATCTATATTCTATAAGTACTATACTTCTGCATTTTGTACCTAGATGGCGCATGGATGGTTTTGTGCTATAAGAAAATTAATGTCAAAAGCAATTAGTGATGATCAGAATCGATTACTTATGGGAATCGGTTACCGTGGAATCGAGTACAGTAAGGAATCGGATACTTTATTGAGTACTGAGTACCGAGTACTGTAGCTATCAGATTTTGAATTAATAGTGGGTTTGTCAATCTTTAGGTATCTATGATTTTTCAATTATTTGTGTGTGTAATGCGTATGTTTTTTTTTGTTTTGTAATAAATATAAGTTTTGAAAACAAATAAGATAGGTCCACAAAAATGGACCAAACATTTTTCTAATAAAAGAGTGTTTAAATATAATATTTGGTATAAATAAAGTAATTATTTAGCTAATAAAAAATCTTTCAATATTCTACTATTGTCTAAAAAATAAAAAAACAGTTTAAATATTAAATGAACATTAAAATAGAAATTAAGTATAAATAAAATAAAAAAAAACATTCTAGAATATATCACAAAAAGAAATAAAACAAAAACTACCTTAAGAATAAAAACTGTTTAAACATGTAATTTTGTCCAAGTTTTTTGGTAATAGTCGGCTTCGACGATCGTTTGTTAATTGCCCTGCCTTCGGAAAGACTCTTTCAGATGGAACCGAGGTCCCAGAAACAGATAAATTCCGAATGGCCCGAACATTACTGTAATTTACAACCGTCTATATTCGGCAGGTACCCAGTACTCAGTACTCAATCGGTTTCCAGTTCGAGTACTCGAGTACATTTGATTCTGTAAGGAATCGGATACTACTCGATTCCAGTATTCGAATACTCCCATCTTTAAAAGCAATATGTCGGCAATTGCATTGTTCATAAGAGGTAAGTGTACTTGTTTCTTCAAATATTAGTTTGAATAAAGTCAATCGCCGTTTATATTTCAGTGCAATGTTGAAAGTAGTGTTACTTCTTATTAATTGTGAATATATTTTATTGAAATTAGATTTTTTTCAAATATAGAAGTGTGCTTCAAATTCGATGGGCACAATTGTAGCCAAAATGACTCAGTGTTATTTTTTGTTTCGGAGTAAAATGCCTCCAAAAAAGTATTTAACTGAGAAGGAACTCCTGGAAGAGCTGGAAAAACTGTCCGACATAGAAGGATTTGTTAGTGATGACGACAGTGACTGCGAAGAAAAAATACAAGTAAGACAGAGAGTTGGACATATGATAGATGATGTCTCAGAAAATCAAAACGAATTGGAGGACGAGAAAGAGGATAATGAGGTAGAAAAGGAGGATGATGATGAACAGGGTGAAAACGATTTCAATTATGATAACTTCAATACTCTGAAAAAAAAATGTAAAATGGTTACAGAATGTTCAATATCTAACACGACAATTACCTAATAAAATAACACAGATTTCTAATGAAAACTGTTCTGAGGAATATCCAATTACATATTTTATGAGATATTTTCCCGAAAGTATATTCTAAAAATCTCGTTCAATATACGAATATGTACCTATGCTTTGCAAACTGGAAATGAGAAATTTGTACCGTGTAATCTACAAGAAATAAAATCATTTTTTGGCCTTAGTATTCTAACAGGCTGTCTAAAATTTCCAAAACTGCGAATGTATTGGGACAGATCTTTAAAAATTGATATTTTTTCGGACACAATGACATTGAATCGTTATTTCAAACTTCGCACGCACATACATTGTGTTGACAATCTGGAAAAAAGACAGAGCGACGATAAACTGTGGAAAGTTCGAACAGTTTTTGAATCAGTCCTAAAGAGATGTAGAGAACTGCATACAGAAACAAATATTTGCATAGAAAAACAAATTATGCCTTTCAAAGGGAAATTGTCTATAAAACAATACATCAAAAATAAGCCTAATCCATGGGGAGTGAAACTGTATTTATTAGGTGACAATTATTTTACGAGCTATAATCTTTTACAAATTCTCAACCAAAAATCAATACTTGTTGCTGGTACTGCGAGGATCAATAGATTTTCTAAACCACCTTTAACTGATGTAAAAGATTTTTCAAAAAACCAGAGAGGATCAACGGAACAAATTATCTCTTCTGATGGAATTGTAGTAACCAGATGGTTAGATAACAAGTCAGTGATAATGGTATCCAACTTCGTTGGGGTTGGTACAGAAGATGTTGTAAAACGTTGGAATAAACAAACAAAATGTTTCATTGACGTAAGTCGACCCGAAGTTATACAAAAGTATAATAAGTCCATGGGTGGCATAGATAAAACAGATGCTCTTATTGCGTTTTACAGAGTAAAAAACCGTTGCAGAAAGTGGACTGTTCGACTAATCTTCCATGCAGTTGACATGGCCCTAACAAATTCATCTTTAGAATATAAAAAAGATATGCATACTTTCATAATTCCAAAAAAAGATATCATGGACCTTCTACACTTTAGGATGAAAGTTGGTGAAGCCCTCATAAAAGTCAACTCTTTCAATAACCGAAAACGGGGAAGACCTTCAAGCGGTACATCTAGTCCAGTAGTAGCTGAAAAACGCCAAAACATTGAAATTGGACCTCTTACTGAGGTGCGATTAGATAACATTGGACATTTTCCAGAGCACCCTCAGCTACCTTTACCTTTAAAATGTAAAAACCCTGGTTGTATAGGAAAATCAAGATGGAAATGTCAGAAGAGCAATGTTCATTTGTGCCTTCAAAAGGAAAGAAATTGCTTTTTTATGTTTCATATGCGCTAGTTTTTTAGATTTGTTAAGTACTTTTGGGTACAAATGAACCCTTTTTACATTTGTAAAAAGGGTTCATTTGTACCCAACCTTTTTATACCTTTTTGATTTGTTAAGTACTTTTGGGTACAAATGAACATTTTTTATGTATACATGCTATATTTTTATTAATGTCCAAAAAGTGTTATATGAACTGTTTTAAGTACATTTTAACCAAAAAATATTTTTTCGTTCGCTGAAAAAAAAAGAGGTACTGAAAGGGTTAATTTGATAACAAACAATTTTCGCTCCGATATATTACAAATGACTATTTTTTTTTGTAAAATACTTAAAAAAAATAATTTTTTTTAAACAATCATAACTCAAAAATCTTACGTGTTTTTATCGTCATATTCATATTCAGAGAACCAAAATGAACAAAAAACACTATTTTGCATTTGAGTCGCAAATTGGTTGTAAACTAGTTTAATTACCAATTCTTTATTATGGCAGTTTATTCCTTACTACAATTTTTATCTGCTTCGATTATATTGCATCTTTACATATTTTGGTTCTGAATTAAATGAATTAGAAGAGAATATAATAAAAAAATTTATTAAAATAATTAAAATAACTTATAATTAGATTTGAGTTAGTTTTTAATAAATTAACAACAGTTTAGATAGATGAAACAATGGATAAATATTCAAACAGGTTTCGATTTTTCCTTTAGTTTCTTTTCGTCTTCCCATGCAAAGTTCCGGCCAGTTCCTTGCTCAGTCCTTAAAAATTTTTCATTGTCAGATTTAACAACGTTTGGAAAAACTGTTAGCTGGTCGGCATTTGCCTCATTAGTTTCCCTAAAATATGAATCACTATAGTCTTCGTCTGGTAAGCTAAAATAAGTAAAATTATAAGATAAGTTTTTAATATTATAGCAAAATAATTTCAGAAAAAATATCAGAAAACATTTTAAACGGTAAAACTCACAACGAACTACAAAAGCTCCTCAATATAACGAGAACACTGAGTAATAGAGAAATGTAAAGAAAAGGAGATATCAGTAGCCTTTTTGTTTATTCTGACACTGTAAGTTACCGACACGGAGAGATTCTCCGTGGTGGTAACACATTGCAAAAATACTACTAGGACCATAAGTAAGGAGCATATCTAGGTAACAAATTATCTATTATATAAACAAAGATTGGCTAGTTTCCATCTTCATCTTTTCCACTACGACGCAGCACGGACTCAAACTTGTGGCTAAGCTAACCAAAGCCATCATTCTAAAGTGGAAAAGGAACAGGCAAAGTGTGGAACTACAATGTGCGGGGGCATGTCTAACACCAAAGAAACACGTTAAGTACCTAGGAGTGACGTTGCACCAGAATGGAAAATGGGGGCAGCATTTGCGGCAGGTCGTTGGGAAGACTGTGAATAGTGCAACTGCGTTAAGGATAGTGATGCCCAACATTGGGGAACTCAAATCTGAAAAAAGGAGGGCCTCATACGGTGTTGTGCAGTCGATTGTCTTCTACGCGGCACCAGTCTAGAGCGGCGAGGTAAACAGAACGGCCAATAGGAGGCTCATGACACGAGTGAACAGAACCTTAAAAGAGACTCAAATAGCTGAGAGAAGACAGGAAAGAAAAAGGTCAATTGAAAAATAGCACGAAAAATGGAATAACACGAAGAATATGACATAGTGAACAAAGATGCTAATCTCGAACAATAGAGATTGGGTGGACTATGGTCACAGACAATAGCAGGTAGGTATTCGGTGTAAACTCGACGACAAGAGGGCCTCAGACTCAGAGGGACTCAGAGGACCTCAGAGGGACTCGACGACAAGAGGGAAGTACCTCAGGAACTATCGCTGGCAGTACGAAAAACGAATGCTGCACTAAAGTCAGTCAGGCGGCGTCTTCAACTGATATGTCTTTTGAAGATTGTAGACCCCCCTCTATAAAGGCTAAAAAAAACAAGCTGCAGTATTTAAAAAATAATATTATATTTAGTTCCAAATCTAAAAAATTGGTGCAAATATATTTGCGACAAAGGAAAACATATACCTGCTCTACAAAATATGAACCAGAATTATTATAAAAATATTTATATGGTTATATACAAAAATAAAATGTTTTACAGTAGGTTAAAATAGTCCTTAAAAATAAATTTAAAAATGTATGAAACAAAAATTCATACTTAATACTGACTTACTTGTGAAACGTCTGGATTCCATGCCCATGACCATGGCCACCATGACCAAAATGACCGTAATGACCATGATGACCGTGATGTCCGTACTGGCCGGATGTATAGTGACCAGATGTGTACTGTTGGTTAGGGTAGTTGCTTTGTCCATACCCAAAAACGAGTGTTCCCAAAGCAAAGGCACTAGACATTATTAATGCAAACTTACTGATGATTAGCGCCTTCTTGGCTATTAAGGCTATTATACCAAACATAACTGGTAAAATGCTTATTATATTAAATTTAAATCCAAGGAGTAGTGGTAAGAGGAATTGTCGAGCAAGAAGCCTTCCTAAAAATATTAACATATTTATGTATAAAGGCTTAATGTTCATATTTCTTCTAATATTGAATTGTATTTAATTGTGCTGCCTTAAAACAAATCATTATTTAATAATAACAACTAAATTTTGCAACTTTTGATTTCTTCTCTTGAAAAAAAAAACCAAAATATGCAACAATATGCAATACAATATACCGGATGGTGAATCGTGAAACGGGCCGTAGGAAACTCAATGGGAAATTTTAAATTGTTGAATTGTTGCTTCCCTAATTATTTTAGATCAAAAGTCATAAAAAACTATTTGTAGAGGACTAAATTCTGAATTAAAAACAAATGTTTAAAACCGTTATACGAATCAAATGTACTTCAAAATTTTGCAAAAATATAATAGATTTTTCAGACCACCCCTTATAGTTAGGCCACACGTAATACAAGAATATATTAAAAAGTGTGTGTTCTATCCATTTATCATATCGATGTCAGATGTTTGACAATTTGAATTGTCAATTTTTTTTATTTTATGATTAAATTATAAACAATGAATTTTACTAAATACTACTACTAGTGAACAATATTACTTTGTGAACAATAAATTCTATTGTTTACAAATCGATCAATATAATGAAATGTACTCAGTTGACGAAAAATCGCATAATGTTGTATTCAGGCAATAGCGCGAACCTTTGCCTGTCACTACCGGATCTTTATTTAACGTAAGATATTCTAATACACTAAAATTTAATTCCATGTTAAGTTAAGTTATACAACAATTCAATAGACGATTTCTCCTAACTCAAACTCTATCTGGTGGCGTTGTGCATAACTATTCAAATAGACATTAATACATAACCTTAGATTTATCTATATCAAAATCGCATTTGTTTTGTTTATTACTGAAGCTTATTTCGATTTCTACGCTAAAATTTTGAGAATTATGGATCAAAATGAAATAGTTTTTTCTGTAGTTGAATATTTTAAATACCTAGGAGGGAATGAAAATTCTAGAAGAGTTTATGAAGGCGAGGAAGTCTTTCGAGCAGGTCACATACCTAATTATGTGTGGTAAATTACCTACAGAAAAGCAAAACTGCATTGTAATTTATGCTCTTTGCTTACAAACCAGTGCCTTACAATCATCTCCGCATGTAATTAAAGGACAAATATATATTAAAAATAATATAGCAAGTGTTCACAAGATGGAATACTCCTGTAAAGGTGGAAACAGTGGCTACTGTAAACATATTTCAGCCGTGTTATTACATTGTACCAGGTAATAATTTTTAGTACAAATATATTGTTAAATCATTGTATATATTCCTGGTTTATTATTTTTAGAATACCTTTGGAAACATTAGAAGAGCTATCCCAAACGGATTTACAATGTGCTTGGTCTCTAAGAAAAGCAACCAGCAAAGAGCAATATAAAGCTGTCTCCATACCAGAAATGCCTTGTTATAAGGATAAATGGCCCAAACCAATAACCACAATCTCCAGTAAACAGAAAAAAAAATTTTAGAAACTCTTTTATTGCATGCACCAAAATCTGCACTAAATTTGAATAGGTAATTTCTTAGCGATTTATCATCATTGTTATTATTAATCATATTTGTATATGGTAGGATAGGCAGAAGAGAATTACCAACCAACAGTTTAGAAACAGTTCATCCAAATAACAATCACCACCTGAACATACTTCTTAATAATGCCAGCCAATCTGTTATTATGATGGAATTAGAAGGCTTAACAGTTGATATTAAGGATTGTTGTAAGGATTTTGTGCAATCTCATTTTATGGATGATGCAGAACATGTTGCAACTACTGTTACTGTTACTGTGATCTTTATTCCTAATAATAATATATGATAATTTCTAAACATAAAATATAACAAATGTTATAATAAAACATGAATAAAACATTTTTATTATTGCTCTTTTCTCTTCTTCTTTTTTCGTTTTATGGCCTCCACCATTGCTCTTTTCTCCTTAACTGAGTACATTTTTTAATCAACTTAATTATTCTTTTAAATAATAAATCACAAAATTTTGGCCATTTAAATCATAGATAAATATAATATAGTTGATTTAAATATTGTCAAATATTAGAAACGTCAATATGACAAAACGCAACACGTAATACACATTCTTTTGACGGCGTCTGGCCTGACTTTTAGGGGTGGCCTGAAAAATTTATTAGGGAAAAATTAGGGAAGCAGGAATTCAACAATTTAGAATTTCTCTTTAAGTTTCCCATGGCCCGTTTGACGATTCACCACCCTGTATGTCGTAATTACATAACGGCGCAATGCTTCAAGATACATTAAAATCAATATATATATATATATATATATAATATATATATATATATATATAATATATATATATATATTAAACCGGTTTTATAGCGTTCTACGCCTTTCCGTTCCTAATCGCCACTCTTTTCTATTATGGCAGTGTTCATCTCTCAAATTTCGTTCCGACATTGCCTTGGAGATGCCTTTCATCCATGTGGTTACTGGTCTTCCTCGTTTTCGTTTTTCTGTGGGGGTCCATTCTAACACTTTCTTGGGGATTCTTCTTTCCTCCATTCGTCTTACGTGCCCGTACCATACTAGCTGTTGTCTTTCAATGTCATCTATGATTGTTCTTTCTATTTCCATTTGTTGTCTAATGTCGTCGTTTCTTATGTGTTCTAATCTAGATCTTCTTGCTGACCTTCTCCAAAAATCCATCTCAGTGGCTAGTAATTTATCCTTGTATTTCTTAGTTAATTGCCAGACTTCAGCTCCATAAGTTAACACTGGTTTTAATATTGTGTTGTAAATTCGTTTTTTATTTTCTGTTCTTATATTTTTTTGCCACAGTACCGAATTCAGGGCTCCTATCACCTGTCTTCCCTTTACTATTCTGTCTTTAATATTTTCTTCGGTTCGTCCTGTGCTCGTTAGTTTTATTCCCAGATATACATATTCCTTACAGCTTGTAATTGTCTCCTGTTCCAGGTTCAGGTTCTCTGTTTCTTCTCTGCCTACACATAGATATTGTGTTTTTTTGGTGTTTACCTCCAGACCCCATTTTCTGTATTCCTCTATCGATTTCCTTGTCATATATTCAAGATCTTCTTTGTCCTGTGCAATTACAATTTGGTCATCTGCATAGTGTAGCGTATAGAGTATCGTATCTCCTATCGGTAGTCCCATTCCATTGCACTTCTTCTTCCACTGCCTCAGGGCTTCATCAATATATATATTAAATAATACTGGCGATACACAGCATCCTTGCCTTAGTCCTTTAGTGACGAGGAAACCTTTGGATATTCTATTTCCAATTTTAATTTTAGATGTCGAGTTTCTATATAGTTCTTTCAGCGCCTGTATGATAGATACATTTATGCTGGTTTTTTCTAGTACTTCCCATAGTCTATTAATGGGTACCGTGTCATATGCCTTTGTTAGATCTACCATAAGCAAATGCAACTCTTGGGCTCTTGACAGCCTCTTTTCTATTACTTGGGTTATACAGAAAATGTTGTCTATTGTGGATCTACCTGCTCTAAAGCCGCTTTGTTCCTCTGACTCGTATGGATGGTACTCTTCACATATGAGGTCTTTTAGTATTCTTCCGTATAGTCGACTTAGTGTGCTAGTTACGGTAATACCTCTGTAGTTATTTGGGTCTTGTTTACTACCTTTCTTGTGTATAGATGTTATCCATCCCTCTTTCCATGTCTGTGGTACCGGTTCTCCATTTAGATATCTGTTAAATAATATTGTTATTATTTTTGCTAGTTTGTCAGTACCATTTTTTAGTAGTTCTGCGGGTATTCCTTCCGGACCTGGGGCGCGGCCGTTTTTTAATAAGGTTATTGCCTTTTTGATATGTTCCTCATTTATATTTATTGGCTGTCCTGTTATCTCGATTATGTTTTGTGATGTGGTACTGTATTCTGGTCTTTTTTCTACTAATAGTGTTTTGTAGTGCTCTTCCCATTTCATTGTTGTTATGGGGTTTATCATAGTTTCTTCTCTTTTGTTAGTTCTGACATTTTTAATAAATCTCCAGGCTTCCCTAGATTTTCGTCCTCCGATGTACGTGTCCAGCTCCTGACATTTATCTTCCCATTTTTGATTTTTGGCGTTTATTACATCCGTTTTGAACTTACTACGTGCTTGCTGATATTCACTTTTTTTTTGTTCGTTTTCTCTGTTATTTAGCCACTTATGGTATACTTCCTGTTTATGTTTTTTCATTTCTTCTAGCTGATCATTCCACCAGTAATTTCTAACTTCTCGCTTTTTCGTTGTGATACCTAAAGTTTCTTGTGCCGCTTTGTGTATTCCATTTATTATTGTTCTGTAGAGATTTTCCGTTGTTTCTCGTTCGTATTCTCTAGGAAGAGCTTGATCCAATCTGCTCTTGTACAAATATTGTGTGCTTTGATTTTCCAAGCTATTAATATTCCAAGCTATTATGATATTAAAATCAATATATTCGTTCTTATAAAAATATATAAGAGTAAATGAAAAAATATATATATATAAATTAAATAGAAACAAAATACCAAATGAAAAGAAGTAAAATTTGACTGAATCTCAAAGATCTTCTGCTGTCCTAAATAGGACCGTTTTGCCTACATTGCCTTTCGTTTACACACCCTTCTTATTATTCTTTTTTGGGCTTTTTTACTCTGCTTAATATTATTATTTGTTAGTGCCAATTGTTTTAACCTTTTCTTTTCCTCTACTATTTTAAGGTAGTCTTAATCAAACCAACTCTTCTGTGCTTTGGCTCTTATTTGAAATAATTTTATCATTTGTTAAAGTTATCACGTCTCTTGTAGTTTGCCACATTTGCTCGATTACTAATTCCTGTTCGTATGTTCTAAACTATACTAAATACTAGAATAATTAGTGAATTAATTATTTTTATGTTTTATACAATCTCATATGTATACAACATATGTATACAACATTGCACATATTGCCGTAGTAATGATGACATGACAATTGAAAATTAAGTCAAATTCTGATTAAAATAAAGTCATAAATATTCTAACCAATTACAGAAGCGCATAGAAAAATGCAGATGTAAAATCAAGAGTAGTAAAGAGAAAAAGATATTGTAAATTCTACTTTAAGTGGATTCAAAAACAAGCATAAGATTTAGTATCTTAGTTAGTATTTAATGTGTACTGGAATGAATGCCTCCCGTTGTGAACATCCCCAATAATGCCGTATAAAAATAAAGATCCTAGAGAACAAGTAACTCTATAGATTGTCACTAATAAGACATTAAAATAAATACATGAATATTGTAATATTTTTAATTTTTTTTGTTGTATATTATTTTTCTGCAAATTTTCCTGTACAAAATTATAAATATTTTTGTTAAAAAATCCTTGAACTTGACCTGCGACGCCATCTATAAGCTTGACCTTGAACTCTACATACCTGTCCCCGCTTCTTTTAGAGAATGAACATTGATTGCTTCTCTGTGTGGGTCCAAAGCGAACTCTAGTGTGCCACCTGGATGGAGAGATGGCGCTACATGCATTATAAGACCGGGGTAAATAAATCCCATATTCCATTTCATGTTTCTTTTTGAGAAAACGTAACTAAACGAATCCATGATACTCCTAAAATTGATTAAGTATTAATAAAGAGTAATATTTATAAGAGATATATATACGAGAAAATATTTTTATAATAATACTTTTGTTGATATACTATGTTTTCTTCATTTTTATTATCGAATAATGTCTTTAAATCGAAAAACAATTTATATCTATATATTTATAATCCCTAGAACGGTGAAATCAATTATTTACTAGCGGTTAAGCTAGACCTTCATCATTTTTACAACATCTAGCAAAAAATTGAAAGAGAAATACAAATTTAATTAAAAACACTTTTATTACAAAAAAATAGAAAGAATGTAGGTATGTCTTAGTAAGTGGTACAGTCCATGGACAATATTTGTTTGCACCTACTGTACATATACTACCTCGGTCATTCGAAATATATAGAGTGATGGCATTGGTTGCAATATGTACTAATCATGCGCCTCTTTTTACTAGGAAAATAGAAATATATATTTGGTTTCTTTTCTTCAGGTACTTAATTACTTTCCGTGTCCAGGACACCAAGAGCTTTAAATTTCATGTTTCCAATGGTTGGCCACATAGATGGTCCTGTCATTCGTTAAAAATAGGTTTTCTTCTGTGCAGGTCTCTCTCATCTCTGTGCATGATAGTAGATGGTGACTATTCCGAATCGCGGCACAGTCGCAGGTACCGTCCTCCTCGTATCCCCATTTCTTCGGGATACTAGCATAACGTGAAACGCCAGTTCTTAGCCTGTTTAGCGCTTTCCATGTAGGATACGACAAATTGTGTCCAGAGCCCATTTCGCTTACTGTATTTAGGTCGCTTTAGGTGTATTCGGTCTTCGATCTGTCTCCTGGTTCTTTCGTTCTATCTCTGACGTGACCTCTCTTCTGATAGCAGGTGGAGCGATTCCAACTATGGAATACACCTCTTAGATAGGTGTCGGTTTCAGGCAACCAGATATTATACGAATTGTTTCATTTAACGCAACATCGACGTTTTTAGTGTGAGCGGAGTTTTCCCACACTGGTGCTCCAAACTCGGCGGCAGAAAACATAATGCTAAGGCAGAAGTACGGAGAGTGTAGTTGTGCTCTGCATTTTGTGTTTGTTAGTTTGTCGATGATATTATTCCTGGAGCTTACTTTTTTCTTGATATCTTGACAGTGATATCGATAGGACAAAGTTCTATCCAGACGTACACCGAGGTATTTTGGCGTCTCCTTGTGTTTCAGCATCTGATCACGCCATTCTACCTCCAGTGTCCTTAGGGCATGCTTATTTCTAAGGTGGAAAGCACACACCTGGTTTTTTTTAAGATTTTGTCTCAGATGGTTTTCGTCATAGTGTAGTGCTAAGTCTTCTAGGACATCTGTCAGTTTTACTTCAACTTCATTGAAGGTACTTCTCTAAGCTGCCACAGCTGCAGTGTTCGCGTAAATAAACTGTTTTGTTTGTTCGTTTTTGGGTTGGTTGTTGGTGTAAATATTGTATAGCAATGGCGCGAGAACACTTCGCTGTAGAAGTCTTTTTTTTATCCCTCCTACAACTGTTCTTGGACTGGAGCGTTACATAGAAGCGTTTATTCTGAAGAAGACATTTCATTAACCTTGTTAGTCGGAAATCCTTTGTAACTTTTTAGAGTTTTACCAGCAGCTCTTGATGTTTAACTGTGCCATAGGCGGCAGTCAGGAATATGATCGCTACTCCGGTTATTTCTTTCCGTTCAAACCCATCTTCAATATGTTGGGAAAGATTGAGAGTTTGAGTGCAACTACATTTTTAGGGTCTAAACCCTACTTTTTCAGCAATAATTTTATTGTCCACAGATTCAGCTATTCGGTTCAGTATCATTCTTTTGAACGCCTTAAAAAGGTGACAAAAAAGATCCAAAAAAGGTGATCCTTTCCTGGTTTCAAGAGGGCCACTATTGTAGCTTTTCTCCAGGTTTTGGGAATTTGGAATGTACTGACGCATCATTTTTACGAGCCACTCTGGGATTTTTAGTCTAAAGTGCTTAATTTGTTTTGTTCGTATACCGTCTGGGCCAGCCGCTTTATTATCTTTTATTTGGTGGATCGCACCTCTTATCTCTTCCAGACAGAAGGTAACTTCTTCCAAAATTATAAGGATATCTTTAATAGTTTGCTTTAGATTTCGACGTAAGGTTGTAATATACAATCGTTTTTTCAGTCAGAGTTCTACGAGATGATAAGCCAGTTCAAGCATATATTCGTATAGAACTTTTAAAATACAAATTAGAATTAACATACGAGTTAAAAATTGCAATATTTATTATATCACAGAAGATATACAAACAGCAACAGAACTTTCTTTGGCATATATGATATCAATGTCTCTTTTATAAAAAAAATACGTATTGGGGCCTCAGTTCGTTACGTCCAACACTTCCTGTGGAATTGTTCCTTGATCTTTACGAAAAGATTGTAATATATGACATCTGTAGAAAATTAATTCAGTGCAATAATTAGAGTAAGATGACCTGGTTAGAAGATTGAAGTTTTGCGAAGAAATAATGTTATGATGTAATAGAAACATGTTTTTGCTAACACTATTATTTTTTCAGAACTATACTTGGTGGTAAAGATTTGAGAGACATTCGTTGGACTTTCCGAGTTTAAACTTGCATCATCCCAAGAGTCTAATGAAGCGTGGATGCTGAAATGAGTCATAACACTCTATTGATATCGATTTAAGCACATGAAGTTTAACGAATTTGTCGTCCTAGGCCATGTATTTAGGCATTTTATTCAACAAAGCCACAGCAGTTTTTGTCTTTTCCATAAATATAGTATTTTAGCTTTCGAGTACATATTGAACATGAAGTACAGCATACAACTTTTATATTTTTATACATATTTTATTAATATTTATATTAGATCTTATTTTTTTTTAAATTATATTGTTATAGTACTAACATCGTTAAAAAGCTGCACCCTAGCGGATGCTATTGGAATTATTTTGCATAATTTCATAGGGCCTGGTGAATGTCATATTAATTAAAATCATTTTAATACCACTTTTTGTGTGTTGACAAGGACTGATGCATTAAAAGAATTACCCTGGAGAGTTTATAGTATACATGTAAACAAGTGTAATGTGCATGTTGGGCTTTACAATATTTAGATAGTTAATGCTTTATGATAATTATGTTAGACAGTGCCGTACATGCCACTATTTCATTTCTGTTTGGTATGTTCTTCATTTTTTTAAGGTTGGCAATTATATTTGCGAGGTTGTCATTTTGTTTATCTATCAACAGCAGTTTTTATGTTTAGAAGGTATTGTTATATCCCTAAAGCATCTCTAGAGCAAAAAAAAAACAGTCTAACAATAACTAAGACTGTTATCTTATTATTGCTGACATTTGGATTAAGAAACTTTTCAAAACGCAAATATTGAAAGAAATTAGATGCAAATTCACTCATCTTCTAACTTTATATCTATAGAAGAATACTTGAATACGATGCAGTCTAGAAAATAGACTTCTGGTGAAGGAGATATAACTTTGAAGGTAGACTAAGATGGGCAGAAATACATATCCATATACAAGGCCTAATGAAAACTACCGCGTTGTAGCTTTTCCGCATTTGTTATGCATTTTGACTAGACATTTGAATACGTCGCAATTGACTCTCAACATCGTTCGATTAGTGTTTATACAGTAAATAATGCTTCTCTGGTACCAAAGCCTTTTCTGAATCCCAATTGGTTTTCAGCTATTCTATCATCTAGCTTTTTATAGAAACGTTCATGTATCACATTGCGTTTGATTTTTTGGGTATTGTGGTCACTTATTATATCTGCTCCTGGGTAGCTTTATATCCGCTTTAGCCAATATTATGGCATTTCGGAATCTTTAATTTATTATTATGTAATCTATTTGGTTTCTTATTATAATTTCACCATCATCTCTAGGTGCTTTCCATGTATATATTCTTCAATTTGGGAGTTTATACCACGTGTTTTTGACAATGAGTTCGTTATCTTTGCAAAACTGAAATAGTCTTTCAACTCTTTCGTTACGTGTTCCCAGTCCGTGTTCTCCTACTACTTCTCCATTTCTTCCTTTTCCACTACATTCGAGTTAAAGTCACCTAAAATTAAATTTATTCTTCTTTTTTAGTATTATTGAACGTTTTGTTTAAGTCATTGTAGAAGCTGTTTACTTCTTCCTCTGTGCTTTCAGATGTTAGTGCATACACTACAATGATGTTTATGTTGCACGGTAAAGCGTTTAATTTCAATAGTGCCATTCTATCCGTTATCGGTATGAACCCTTTGACTGATCTTTTGATTTCTTTGCTGATAACTATTCTGCCGTTTTTAGGCCATCGAACTTCACTACATCCAAGAATATCTATTTTTAAGCGTCTCATTTCTTGTGTTAAATTATGGGCTTTTCCTTGTTGGTACAAACTCCTCACGTTCCAAGTGCCTTTCTTTTTTTCAGTGTATTTAGTTGGATGGCTGGTCTTGTAGATGTTTTTCTTAATACATCACTGGGATTTCGCTTGTTGATGACCTGAGAGGCCCTGTGATCTTTTAGGTTTGTTCCCCTTCTGCTGGATCCCTGCTTCCGATTTCCGTGATCAGTAATGTCTTCTGTTTTTGTTAGCATTGCTAACATTGTCATGATGATTGTTCATGTCAGTCATTGCTATTCTGCGTTTTACTTCTATGTCTGGTTCCAATTGCTCCGTTATGACAGTTCTCAAATATGTAATTTTTTAACTTGGACTCCATTTAATTGAAGCTTTATATCTAGATGTGGGTTAATACTAAAAACTAAAAATGTGGTTTTGTTTGAGTTTATTTTAATGCCCATTTCCTATAATACCCACGTATCCAATTACATTAAGTAGTTCCTCGTCTATTGTTATTCCAAATGTCTGTATCTTAAGTGTTTTTTGTTTGAAATAGCTATATCTTAATAACAATATTGAGGACATCGAGTTAGAATCTATGGATAAGCTATGAGCATATTAACGTATGTATTAAAAACGGCAT